TCCTTATGAGAAAGCAAGCTGCTTCCAAAAGAGGGTTTTGTGACTTCTCCCTGCTTCTTTGAAGAGCTGTTATTCTGCTACCAAGAGGCAGAAGGAAGACGAGGCTGTGGAAAGATAAAAGCCTGTGGGGGATTCCTGGGAAACTTCTCAAAGCCATTTCGGCATCTAGGCCGTGGTCGCTAGCGCTCATCTAATTTTAGAAATCGGAAGCTCTGGGTAGCTGCTGTGTCTGATGGCTATAACCCCATCAATCCTGCTCACGCTGGGTGAGGTTCATTTATTTTCAATTAGCATTTATTGAGTTCCTATCTTGTACTGAGCTCTGGATGGAGAGAATGGGAGATAAATAAGCTACTTTTTGGGGATACAATAAGTGCTTGATAACCATACATCAAATATGTATGGCTAACCCAGGTTGGGGGCTCGATCTCCAGTGGGGGGCGTGCAGGAGGCAGCTGATCAATGATTCTCTCTCATCATGGATGTTTCTCTCTCTCTCCCTTCCTCTCTGAAATCATAAACAAAATATTTTTTTTCTGTTTTCTTTTTTTACTCCTCACCAGAGACTATTTTTTCCATTGGTTTTTAGAGAGAGTGGAAGGGAGAGGGAGAGACAGAGAAAAACACCAAAGTGAGAGAGACACATCAATTGGTTGCCTCCCATATGCCCCCGACCAGGGCTGGGAGCCTGCAACCCAGGAACATGCCCTTGACCGGAATCGAACCCGGGACCCTTCAGTCCACAGGCCAGTGCTCTATCCATTGAGCCCAACTGGCTAGGGCTAAAAATATCATTCTTAAAAAAAGTGTGCATGCAATCCAAGCGACCTCCTCGGGTGCACATGGACCAGACCCTTCCCTGGAGCTGCCACCACCGTCCCGGCTGCAGCTGACCCTGGACCAGAGAATCACCAGGCCTTTAACATTACAGCTAACCCAGAGGAGAACCCCATTCAGTCCTAAATTAAACCCTGAAAGGCCGCGTGCCCTCCCCTCTCTCCCATCCCCACCACCTCTTTCTTGGGCTCCCTATGTACTTCTGGGACTATATTCTGAGCCATGTTCTTGCCAGAGAACAACCTCATTTCCTCTTTTTCTTAGTTCCAGCACAAGGTACGTGTACATCCTTGCTCCACTTAACTATGGGGCCACGTCCTGAGAAACGCATCAGCAGGCGGTTTTGTCCGGCCATCATGGAGTGCACTTGCACAAAAATAGATGCATCACCTGCTCCTAGAATGGCACGTGCTATCCTCTCGTCTGATTGGCAGCTTAGTAGGTTTGTTTACACCCGCATCACCGCAAACACATGAGCAATGTCTTGTACTAAGACTTTTCGATGACTACAACATCATGAGGCCATGGGAAATTTTGCTCCCTTATAATCTCACGGTCCCACGGCCGTAAACGCTGTCCATCTTGGACTGAAACATGGTTATACGTGGCTGTACTTGTGTTTACAATCCACCCCGGTATCATTCCCATGCTCTTCTCCGTTTCCTCTCCCTGGTCTAAAGCCTCACTTTCCCATCCCCAGCCACTAGACCAGCCGTGGGCAAACTACGGCCCTCGGGCCGGATCCGGCTCGTTTGAAATGAATAAAACTAAAAAAAAAAAAAGACCGTACCCTTTTATGTAATGATGTTTACTTTGAATTTATATTAGTTCACACAAACACTCCATCCATGCTTTTGTTCCGGCCCTCCGGGCCAGTTTAAGAACCCATCGTGGCCCTCGAGTCAAAAAGTTTGCCCACCCCTGAATTAGCTCAAAGAAATTTGTATTGAGGAAAATATAGCTCTTAATAAGCTCTTAAGACATGTGTCTTAGAAGTGGTCAAAGTCATAGACCCAGATCCTATTGCCAGACGTAATTTAACTCTGATTATTCAGGAAAAGGACTGAAAGCTTATAGAAAATGTCTAGCAGAAGAAGAGTGATTTTTACAGACCCATCCAAGCAGCATTCAGTCTTCTTCAGTCCAAGGAGCTACTGGACATTGTAGCATCCCATGTTCATGGACATGGTAGGCTCATCCACAGTGTGACTCAGAGCAGTCATACCACAGAGAATAACCTTGTAATAAAAGCCCTGCCTTTTTATGGCAGAGTTGGGTCTTGAAGAAAGTTCTCCTTGATGTCCAGTCTTTAATTTTCAGTCCTTAGGCTTAAACAATTTTAGAACATTTTGGCATTTGAGGATTTATTAAATACTAATTACCTATAATAATAAAAGCGTAATATGCTTATTAGACTGGAAGTCCTTTCAGACGACCTTCTGGACGGGGCCGAAGCAGAGGCAGCCATGGCAGCGACGGGGGGGCCAAGCCCCTTGCACGGATTTCGTGCATCGGGCCTCTAGTATGTCTAGTAAGTACTGTGCTTGGGGAAATAGAGGGATCTGAAATAGAATTGACACTTAATGATGATGAACAGAATAATGATCCACTGCCTCCTTCATGCCCTCTACTGGGGGATGGAGCCTGAAACCCGGGCATGTGCCCTGATGAATTGAACCAGAGGGAGAGAGAGAGAGAGAGAGAAACATTAATGATGAACAGAATAATGATCCACTGCCTCCTTCATGCCCTCTACTGGGGGATGGAGCCTGAAACCCGGGCATGTGCCCTGATGGGGAATTGAACCATGACCTCCTGGTTCATAGGTTGACGCTCAACCACTGAGCCACGCTGGTCTGGCTGGACACACATTTTCTTTTTTTTCTTTTTAATATATTTTATTGATTTTTTTACAGAGAGGAAGGGAGAGGGATAGAGAGTTAGAAACATCGATGAGAGAGAAACATCGATCAGCTGCCTCCTGCACACCCCCCACTGGGGATGTGCCCGCAACCAAGGTACATGCCCTTGACCGGAATTGAACCTGGGACCCTTCAGTCCACAGGCCGGTGCTCTATCCACTGAGCCAAATCCGTTAGGGCTCGACACCCATTTTCAAACATTTCCATTATGTGCTCCAAAACTCCTTCCCCTGGCTAATGGACAGCGAGCATTGCCTGCAGCCCTCGCAAGGTGAGATCCAGGTTACTCCTTTCTCTCCCCCAGAGCTGCCCTCCCATCACTCAGAAAAGCCACTTTCCTTGGAGTCTCACGTTCACAGCTAGATCAAAGCTTCCTAAAGCCCGATCATCCCTCGTAATAGCACCAGAGCCTAAGAAAAATGCCTGCACACTGTGGTTTCCACCATTAAAACACGTGCCTGTGCGATCCAAGTTCCCTCGTGGGAGAAGAGCGTACATAGGAGTATCCATTAAGTCTTCACATGAACTGTGAATGAATATTTCTCTCTCAGTATGCGTACAAGAAGCTCTACTGTATAATTCTACTTGGTGCTGAGCAAAAAAAAAAAATCAATAGCCATATAATAAACACACTTACAACAATGATGTCTTCTATTAGAAAATACACTTTAAGTTCTTGTTTATATCATTGAAATTGATTTCTGGGGAAAAAAAATCCATTTCTCCTCAGCAACCTCAAGCTAAGTATCTGTAACAATACCCTACCTTACAATACTTTTAAATTAACTAAAACATCTTTCATGCCAGCTACATTTTAATCTGTCCAGCATAACTGCTATTTATACATTTGCTTACCCAGTATAACTTAAGTCCTACAGTCAGAAGTAAACTAACTATAAATGTGTGATTTACATGTACAGAACTCTTTTTCCCAACCGCATCCACTAGCAATATTGAAGATGGGTAGTATTATTTGAGTAACCCTTAAGCTAAAGATATTTCTATGTCACCTCTATTCTATCCTGTACATCATCACAAAGGATATTTCTTGGGCTAGTTTTATCTAGCATTCCCAGATAGTGAAGGTCTAGCTTTTAAATTAGCCGACCAAAAAAACTACACACGTTAATTTTAAACTCATAAAGCAAGAAAATATATTTAAAGACTGTTTTTTACAATAATAATGAATTGTCGCAGTTGAAACAGAAAGAAACGTTCTCTGTATTTTATTTTATTCTTGTGAACTTAACCCAGGATCACACCAGCACATTATGCCAACTCTCTGGTCTGTTAGCTTTGCAGTGGCTCTTGGCCAAAACAATACGTGTTGACCTAAATTGCCAACGAAATATGGCCAAAAGTCTATTGTTTTGGAAACCACAATCACTTTCTCTCTCTCTTTTGAAAAAAAAATAAAATATTAAAAAAGAAAGAGACTCATTCTCCCTTTCTCTCTGCTTTGGTAGAGTTAACCTAAATATAGTCACAAGCAAAGTACTTCAGTGAACACATGAGGTTCATCCACGAATTCTAGATTATGCTGTATCGTGACTTCTAGAAAGTTATAACCAAACATCTGTACCTCGTTTTAATAGCACTGGGGGAAAATACTGCTTAAAGCAGACTTCTTAATGACTGTTGTGTCATTGCCCACTTTGAGTCATTCCCGTCTAAGGACAATGTTTTTAAAATGCATAAAATAAAATATGAAGATTTCCCCAAAAAATCAATGTTATTAAAACAGTATTTTTATCTATGCGCAGTCTGTGAGGAGCCTGTGTATCCCAGGATCAACTGACATAATTCAAGGACACTCCAGTTAATATTTTGCCATGAAGAACCTTGACCCAATTATCAAGTTAAAAAAATTACATCAAGACACACACTCCATTTCATTTTCAATGGATTACATACCTCACGACAAGAGGGAATGTTGACATAATTCTAGAACACAATTATTTAATTCAGGGGGACATGCCAATAATCAGAGGTGGATTTTGTTATTGTTGATAATCCTCACCCCACGATATTTTTCCATTGATTTTTAGAGAGAGCGGGAGGGAGGGGTAGAGACACAGAGAGAGAAACAGCCATGTGAGAGAGACACATTGATTGGTTGCCTCCTGCACAGGCCCTAACTGGATGGGAGATCCAGCCTGCAACGGAGGTAGGTGGTCTGGACGGGAATCGAACCCCGGACCCTTCAATCCTCAGGCCGATGCTCTATCCCCTGAGCCAAACCGGCTAGGGCTCGAGATGGATTCTAGAGGTAGGAGAGAGAATGGCATGACGGACATGGGAGGCAAACTCCCTCCTACCTTTATGGCAGTGGATGCAATCTGGATGTGGTGCAGCCTCCGCAGGGTGCTGTCCCTGTCGATGAAGTAGGAGGCAGCAAGCTGATGCAGCGTCTCCAGGGTGACCGAGGAGCTGTTGGTGCCGGAATCAGCTCCTTCAGATCCTCTGCTCAGCTTCCGCTTGTCCACAAAAATGGTGAGCGACTCCTCTCCTGCATTAAATGTATGGGACATTATTCCATTTCCCACTTAAAATCCAATTTTTCAATTACCTGCAAGGGAGGACATATCAGACACGGTGAAACGAAAGAGTGATCAACAGCAAAAGGGCAAATCTTTTATTTATTTTTTAAAAATATACTTATTGATTTCAGAGAGAGGAAGGGAGAGGGAGAGAGAGAGAGATAGGAACATCAATGATGACAGTCATTGATTGGCCACCTCCTGCATGCCCCCTACTGGGCATGTGCCCTGATCTGGATTCGAACCCAGAACCCTTCAGTAGGCGGGCCGACACTCTATCTACTGAGCCAAACCAGCAAGGGCCAGACTGGATTACTGTTTGCAGTTACTGCTTGTGCCATCATGGATGCAAATGTGAGTAAAGGTCCAGTGTTGAGAAGAACCATGGGCTGTTCATGAATGACTTCCGTTAGCCTGGGTATTGGAAAGAAAAGTGCTTAGCTCAGTGGGAGACAGGCAAACCGGATATGCCATGATCTAGGACACGTCTGGAGAGTAATGGCAACGCTACAGCCATTGTTTTGCTTTTCTCCTCTAACAGGAAGACAGCATGGTCCAAAGAGGAGGCACCAGAAAGGATCATAGGGGACCCAGGTCAACATAGATGACACCAGGAATACACAGTTCCTGTTACAGTTACAATCCACAGATTTTTAAAATATATATATTTTTATTGATTTCAGAGAGGAAGGGAGAGGGAGGGGCATAGAAACTGCAATGATGAGAGAGAATCATTAATCTGCTGCCTTCTGCGCATGTGTCCTTGACTGGAATCGAACCGTGACCTCCTGGTTCATAGGTCGATGCTCAACCACTGAGCCACACCAGTGGCTCAGTCACTGGGGCCACAGAGATTTTTAAAATTGCAACCAAGCTAACCCTTCTAGGTGAGCTTTATTTTATTGTATCATTACTACTAACCTTGGGTTTGTCTACTGACCTGTAATGTTTACCATTCCACCCAGAATGAAAAGAAAGGAGTGTGTTTATGGCCGATGTCTTCCTGGTCGTTCTATTTCCTTCCACTCAAAGATCTCCCTGTGAATATCTGTTTTGCTTTTGTGCGAGTTTTACTTCTAAAGTACGGCTATTTGAGTAGAAATCCTTCTTCCAGAAATAACCATTGCAAAAGTAGCTTAAATCTAATTGTAGGCTTTCCTTTCGATGTGTCCTTTTAGTTTAAAAATGTTATTCTATTTTCGGTAAAGACAGATCTGATTATCCCGTGAACTAAAATCCGTGGGTTATTTTGGGGATTGCTGTCCTTTTAGAAATTATATTTCGGCTCCCACCATGTTTGCTTTGCTTTTGCTACTGATGACCATCCTTCTTTGGCCTAATATGTTAAAAGGCACTCGTTCCGATAATATCTATCTTTCTACTAAGATAATGTTATCGAAAATAAGACGATTTGAAAAGCAAACAGACATAATGGGGGAAAAAACAATCTTAGAAAAATAGGCTTCTGACAAGAAGCAGAACCAAATATATAAAGACGGTAAAAAACAGACATGTTGGCTTAACACCAATTGGCATCTGCGAAGTATTACAGGAAGGGAATAGCAAGCCTTATTCAGCTTTGAGAAAGAAACATCATATGTTTTATAAAACACTCTGAAGGAAAACTGACCTTATGACTATTAACAGGAACCTCCCAAATACATCTGAAATGTTTCTAAACAAAATTGCCCACCGTACCATATTCCTCTCTATGGAACAATAACATGTGGGGTGGTGGGGGAGAGGAATTGGAAATAAATAGTTCCAAGGTTAGATGAAATGAATCCGCCCTGGGTGAAATATAAAATATAATTAAGTTACTTCTATTTTGGAGCTGTTTACCAACAATGCTATAGTGAACATTTCTGTTGTGTATGGTTAGCAGATTCCTGCTATTCTTTTGGTGAGAGGAATTCTCAGAAGGGAGATTTCTGGAACACTCAGGAGCACTCTACATTTATAGAGAAGCTCTAAACAGTGCTCTTCAAACGCAATGTGCATATAAATCACCTGGAGACCTTGTTAACGTGTGGATTCTGATTCATTAACCTGAGATGGAATCGGAGATTCTGCATTTGTAACAAGCTCCAAGGTGATGCTGGTACTGTGGGAGCATGGACCACGCTCGAGTAATGAGGCTCTAAATCACAGCACAATTTATTACCAGTTTCAAAGTCTGTCTTTATCAGTGACCTGCGTGTTCCTCTAAGGAAGGTCTTGGGTGTTTGAACTGTTATAGGTAACTCAGCAGAGACTTGTCAAACGAGTGGGCAGGAGATTTATCTACCTTAGCAAAGGGCCATGAAGAAGAATAAAAAAATATATAATCAACTTTATAGGACTCTAAACTGAACATTTATCTTTGACTTCGTGTCAAGGAATCTTATGACTAAGATCAACTGACATAACAATTTTAACCTCATTTCCTTCATTATCTTATTATTATATCTTATTATTATTTACATAAGTAGTTTGAAGTCCTTTTAGTCAATAACTGCTTACAATGAAAATTTAATGCACAGTATTGCTTTAATTTCAAACTTTTTATTTTGTTTACCAGAGAAACATGAGAGATAAAGATGAGAGACTGAACAAGAGAGCAAGACAGAGAGAGGGAGAGAGAGAGAGAAGAGAGAGAGGAGAGAGA